TATATATATATATATATATATATATATATATATAATTGACTTCTTTTTCTAGACCACAGGCTTATGCAATTAAGAGAAAAACCATTTCAAATGTGAAATACTGGTAGGTAAATAACCGGCGTAAGCAACCACCAGAATGCAAGCATGTTGACGTCTTGTAGAGCATGTTTGGGAACAACGGCAGTATGAGGGAGAGCATTATCTTCTTGGAAAATACCCCCCTTTAATGCCGCTCATGAATGGCAACAAAAGAGGTTGAATACAAATTTTGCAGTCAGGGGACGTGGAATAACCGTGGAATGTCTTAGGAAATTGCTTTCAAGACCATAACTCTATGCGTAGGTCCAGTGCGTGTCTAGGCCAGAGACGGGTCTGTAGCTCATCTGGCCTCCTTCTAACCAATATATGACTATCACTGGCACAAAGGAAAAACCACTCACGTCGTAAACGGCAAGCTAGAGGGCATCTCGCTCAGAGCTGTACTTGAAGTATAGCTTGTTTACCAAGAATTGGCTCTTGGCTCCACCTCCTCTGACGCAGAGAGTTCATTTCAAAGCGGGAGTTAGAAGAGATGCACGCTTGAAATGGAGACAACCCTTAACGCGCGCGAAACACAAACAGTGACTTCCTTTTTAGTCGCTTACTTCGCTTTATCCTCTGCTATTATATCTTTTGTTTCTCTCGCTCATTAAATATATTTTAAATTTGAAAACAGCTGTTTTCCCAGCAAAAAGGACAAACGATTCACTCAAAAGAGAGAAAACATTTAATGTTTGCGAAATAAATACTTTTGCCATACGATCCCCCAATAGCATCCTTGTTCAGGATTGCTCACAACCTTCTCCCGAAAATAGTATAGTCGCATACCACGTGATGAAGTGTCAACTCCTGGTGAACGAGCTGCAATGCAAACTGCAGCTTGAATTTCTGATGCAGACGCAGTTTGGTGAGCCGCAACCATTCCCTCTGAGTAGTGCCCAGTGTCCACCCAGTTCCCGGTCTTCTAAAAGCAGTACCTTCCCTTGATCAGTGTTGCCAACAATCATGCACAGTGAGCCCTGATGGCTTAAGGGATAGAGCTTTCCATTCAGGTGAACCAGATTGGAATCCTGGCGATGTCTGGTCGATACGAATTCCGCTTCCGGCTTTCACCGATCACAGTACTGACCTAAAATATTTTCAATGGTAGACGAATCATGGGTTAGAGTTGCCTTACCGTCCGGCTAACCATGGGAGGTTTCCGTGGTTTTCCTCGCCATGTAACTTAAATGCTGGTGAGTTCCATCCAAAAGTCCTTTACGAAGGCAAATTCCTCCCACTATTTGATGCAGGAGTTCTCTTGTCTTCTGGATAGGGTTCAATAATATAAAGCTACTGATTTGAACATGAGTAGCCGTGAACCCAAAATTGGGAAGGCTGTTCAACGAGGGATCCTGAAATGTCGCAGATCCACGACTCATTCTACTTAAAGTCAGTTTACAACAAAGCGACGAAGGAATTAAAACATAAAAATTGCAACAAGTGAAATGTTTACATAAAAAAGGAACTAATGTTCTTATTCCTGTCCTGTGAACTGCAGCTAAAGTTAAGAGTTTCGTTACAAATGTATGTAGCGTAACAGAGATGTTTTTAACTGAATCCACAAATAGTATAAAATGCTCTTACCATAAATAGACCATGCAAAGTGTTCTTACTCTGAGATGAGGCGCTTTAAATAAATCCAGAACAGATTTCGGCGATTCCTATAAATTGGCATGAAGAAAAAGAAAAGTCAGCTTAATACGTCAAAAAATCTTATTATTGTTGAGTACTTGTTCTATTTCTATTCACAACTCTATTTCTAATATCATTCTCCGGAAACTAGAAATAGAAATGTGAATGGAATGACATATGCAGGACACGCGCTAAGGATCTCAAATTATTAGATAGTAAAATTAGCCAAATATCAAAAGTATTGCGCCAATTTTCGAAAGTCTTTGCCGAATGCATATCTTAACAATTTTTGATGATCCATTTTTTTCCATAGAAAACTATTTTATAGTAGATTATTTCATTCTTACATGACTTGGAACAGACTCTAATAGGGTTTTCGACGCATCTACCGAAAATGACTGTAACCGAATAAAAAATACTGATTTGTTTAAAAAAAAGCCTTTTGGCGTAATTTTGAGGATCGAGTTAAATATAGATATATTTTACTTTTTAGTGGAAAAAATTGTGGTGCAATCAACATGCTAAGTTCATGTACCAAAGTAGATAACTTAGTGAACCTGTAAATTTCCATGCATTCTCTATAGTCTCTTCATCCTAAAGTATAATGAACTGAACTGAATTTCAAGTGGATGAAATGTGTATACACCATTGCAAAATGTTTTTCTTTCTGCTCTTCACTTTTCCACGTCTTTGATTATAATCCTGGATGCTTTTAATTTAGTTATTAAAATGCAATTAAAGTTATGTTTCTCCTTTATTATCTTTGACAATTGAACTATTTGAAATTCAGGATTTAATACACGCAACCTATCTCGCCACAAATATCATTCGCCAAAACACAATTTTGTTTGCCAAGTTTACGGTTTTATCTTATTTGGCGAGGTGGCGAACGCTAAGAGCGGGTTCTACATGAGGGATAAATTATATCCACTGTCTGGCTGACACTCCTTTTTCAATATTTTCAATATTTCAACATATTTTCATATTTTCAATATGTAACAGTAGGCTATTCAAGATCTAGGTGTCTGCTCAAATTCGACGCACAACTTTTCTCACAATCATCTTTAATCCGGATAAACACTAACTGCAGCACTCTGTGACTATCTCAAGGTGCAAACTAAACAATATGGACCTAAATAGGTTAAATAACTAAAACACCAACATAGGGTACGCAATCAATTAGCGCTAACATAAGATTCTAATCTTGTTCTAAGGCAGCAAGCCAAATTAGATAAGTTTTTTTCTCATGATGCTAATTTTTCAATTTCAATAGTTTGCAGGCGATGAACAACATCGTGATGGAACCACTAGATTATCTTGGTAAACACCAAACCCATTATCTAACCAACGTAACGATGGCTGTAACATCCAATTGTGACAAATGATTTCCCTTTACTGCCCTAATCAACTATATAATCAACTAATACTCCCCTTGTAGCAGGTCCACAGGTGCAACAATAATTCTGACAAATTGTCGCTACTAGGCCGGGATAGCCAGGTCGGTGGGGCGCTGGGCCCATGTCCAGGAGTTCGTGGGTTCGGTCTCCGTCGGCCGAAGACTCCCCGTGTAGTAAACGGTGACTGATGCACGTTAAATCTGTCGAGTCTCAAAGTCCTCCATGTTCCCATAACAAATCAATACCTCTGGTGGTACTGATCCAGGAGTTCCCTTGCCTCCTGGATTGGTTCAAAATTACAAGGCGTTGAACATTAGTAGTCGTAAACCCAAAAACTGGGTCGGCTGTTCAACGGCGGTCGTAAAGTAAAATATTTCAGTATCCGGGTTCGAATCCCAACGATGGTGGGTCGATACGAATTCCGCACCCTGCTTACACCGACCACAGTGCTAATGTAAAAATATCCTCAGCGGTAGACGGATCATGGGTCACAGGCGTCAGGCTAATCATGGGAGATTTCCGTGGTGTTCCTCTCTATGTAACGCAAATGCGGGTTAGCTCCATCAAAAAGTCCTCCACGAAGGCAAATTTCCTCCAAGTTCCCTTATCTCCTGGATTAGGTTCAAAATTACAAGGCTAAGGAGTTGAAGATAGGCAAACCCAGCAACTGTTCTATGACGGTTATGAAATAAAATAAAATAAAATGTTTCCTTTGCATAGATGACGTGGCCACGTTAAGCAGTGATCCACTTGACTCTTCAATTATTATTATTATTATTATTATTAATTTACGTCGCACTAGAGCTGCACAATGGGCTATTGGCGACGGTCTGGGAAGCATCCCTGAGGATGATCCGAANCAATTTTGGGTTTACGACTACTAATGTTCGACTCCGTAGCCTTGTGAACCAATCCAGAAGACAAGGAAACTCCAGCATCAGTACCCCCAGAGGTTTGATTTGTTATGGGAACATGGTGAACTTTGTGACTCCACAGATTTAACATGTATCAGTCACCGTTTACTACACGGGGAGTCTTCGGCCAGTGGGATCGAACCCACGACCTCTTGGACATGGGCCCAGTGCCCTACCAACCAGGCTATTCTGGAATAAATAGTGAACATTAAAAATAAATGAATGCTAAATTGCATGTTCTGAGCGTCCAACCCTGATCACTGGAAATCACATGACTGGAGAATGCAGCAAGAATGATTAAATTGCTCAACAATAAAAACACACCGTACTTAGGTGTAGGGTTTCTTTTTTTTTTCTTCTTCTTTTTTTTTTGACAACCCTGAATCGTCAGTTGTTCGAAAGTCTCTTTATGCTTTATGGATTCATTATAGTGCTCGAATGGTGAAAAATTTACACCTTTATAATAAAGGATAATTGAAACAGTGATTCAGTACGTGGACTCTTTAACTTAACTAGATAACACTACTTAATTAAATAAAAGGCATACAAACATTAACAGGTACTCCCTTATTAAAAATCAAGCAGTTACAATCAGCGGCGCCAAATATATAAGCGAAGATAAAAAAATCGTCATCAAAATCTGATTTGGAATCCATTCTAGTAAAAAGTTAATTGGTTTGAAATCTCTTAATAGGTAATCTTTGTAGAAAATATACATACGCTAATTAATACATAATAAGATGAATAAAACGTCGTCTAAAACCTGACAAATCCTTATCGAGGAAATCTAGTTTTAAAACAACAAAACCTGTTTGATTGACTGGGGAAACAGAGCGATTATTAGAAGTACTCGAACACGTTCTATTACGACCCTCATCCATACGGACGCTTTATTTTCTGGATATCATTTTGCTTCTTAAATTATTATTTTGCGACCCCAAATGTGTATTCTTTTTTGATATATATTTAGTTGTTAATCATTTAGCCTTACGTTATTAAAGTTACGAAACACTCTTCCCTCATCATCCCGAGTTGACACGGGCATTGCAAATATTTCTTATTCCCAGTAAACTCGGGAATCGTAGAGTTCGATCATACGTTTTGTTTCAGCAATTTTCTTATTCGGCCGGAAGCAAAACAAAAAAGAATCTGATGGGATTGGAAGTTTAACACTATTTGTTTTGGGAGTTGAGCTATGTGTGGGACGTGTTTTGTACAATTGTATATACACGATGGGTGGATTAATTTACGTAGAAAAAAAAATGGCGTTCATGAGCGAAAGTGAAAGTAATGCAGGTGATTTTTCAGATGATGAAGAGGTGAACATATACAAAGTCTCTAATTTTTTTTTTTAATTTACCCGAGATCATTTGGAATAGTAAACTGATGGTAAATGAAATATTTTTGACACATAAAAAAATTTAAATGTCAAGTTAGAACTTTTGTATTATGTTCTGTTTTAGTTCCTTGTATTTAATAATGAAATAAAAAAATATGTTGATGCATTTTTTTCCAACAAAATTAGTAAGGGAAGCGGTTAGGACATAAAATGTTTTTTTACTTAATATTATTTCTTATTTTTTTTTTAAAAAAATAATAATTTACCTTGGTATGTTTAGGAAGCAAATCGAGATTCATTTTCTTGTATTCCATTTTGTTCATTTTTGCAGCTTTTTGCAATAGTTTTTCAAGTTTTTCTGCTTTTCCCTGCATCATCAACCATCTTGGAGACTCTGGCAGTATCCTCAATCAAACAATCTTCAATTACATTATGAAACACTGACTGAACACAATACATTTGTAAATGAAAGTGTTAAATTATAGTTAGAATTTTTAAAAAACAGCAGTCTAAAAAGATAACTAAGATAAGATTATTAAGATTATATCAAACGGTAATGATTAGAGATTTCGACCCTATAAATTTATTTTATGTTATATCCATTTTTGTCTTCCCCTACAAAAAAAATATATTTATATAAAATAAAAAACCCTCAAAAAATAAAAATTAATTTTTAAATGTAGTGAAATAAATAATGTTTGAACTAAGTGTTCCTATTTCTAGGGATTCGAAGACTCAAAGTCTGGACACTAATATTTTTCAGTATATATATATATATATATTATATACTTCCCACATTGCATTACAATGTTAACCCATTGATACACTAACGTAAACAAGTGCAAACCGGTTTCAGTCATGTAAAAACAATAAAGCTATGAAAGTATCACCGATATAGTAATTAATATCACCTATATAGCTATATAGTAATTAAAATTTAACAATTAGACATACTATAACATATTATGTTATAGTGTGTCTAATTTTCTGGTCACTGTTCTTTTTTAATAATTATATATATATATATATATATATATTAATTAGAGGAGGGAATGCGCTTACTTGTATGCACCCACAAGAGGTATGAAAGAAAGAAAAATAGCCAGCTGAAGAGAGATCCAATTTCTGAGGAAGTATGCAATAACTGGTAATGTAACGAAGCCAATTGACCAACCAAATTGAATGTAAATTCCTACATTGGTGCGATGTTCTTCTCCAACTACCTCCATTACTAGTGACAAAAAAAAAATTCTGTTTGAAAACAATATGGACGCAATATAATATAATAATTGAATTAAATATCATTTAGGAGGGTGTCCTAAAGTAGGCGAAGTTTTGAGTGCTTCTTCCAGCACAGCAAAAATAGGGTTTTTAAAAAAAAGAAGAGAAAAATTTAAAAAACAATTTTTTTTACTCCTCTAAGTAAGTAATGAGAGATTGTAAGGCTTCCCGGGTCGGGTTTTATATTCTTACAGGTAAATTGTAGTTGTAGATTCATTGACGTCGCACAAGAGCTGCACCATGGGCTTTTGGCGACGGTCTGGGAAACATTGCTCAGGAAGATCCGAAGACATGCCATCCCCATTTTGATCCTTTGCAGAAGGGATGTCACCCCTGCTTCGGTAGCCCGATGACCTGCACGCGAAGTTAAGCATTTTACGGTAGAACAGTTTAACGAGGACCCATACCGCACACCCTTGGTCCCTACGCAGGTTTACAGGTAAAAGACATAAATATTGCAATTCAGTTAAATGTAGTATTGTTCCCAATGTATTTTGTAAGGTGAAACGACCCAACATGAATAGTTTCAGAAGTAAGATTCAGTTTAAAGAAGAAATGCAGTGCTATCTTCTAGATAGAATGTCAGCACAGTTCAAAAATAGTACATTTTGCGCATAAAAACATTTAAAAGTTCTGATTTTGAAATTTGAGGTGAGACTCAGAGTTAAAAAATAAATCTAGAGACATTTGCGCGTATTTGCAATTTCAGATTTTCACGTAAACATTCTACTTTCAATACTATTATAATTTCTAAACTGTATTAGTTTTATCGTCTTCGCAAAAAATATGCCAGAAACAATATTTATCACTTCTTGATATAATTATACTTTTACTCTTCGCCTGTCTAAAAAAGGTCCAATTTTTACCTTATTTAACTTGTAGTGTGTCTACCACTACAAAATTCCAATTCACTATAAAATGCCATGTTAACTCGATTCTAAGAAGGGGGTACCTTTTCATAGATGAAGGTTGTCTCCACAAACTGTTTGCTTCCTTTTTTTACATGTCTGACAGTTTTTAAGCAAATTTTATTCCACTAACGGGAAATAAATGAAGTGGCATTTATTAAATTTCTAAATAGTTCGTAAATATTTTACTAATTCAATGCATTGTTGAAATCTACGTACATAGTACATATCCGGTGGTGGTCAGTCCTATCCTTCCCAAAGCCTGGAAAAAACGAAGAGCAGCAAACATGACGTAGGAGGTAGATAGGAGAGACAGGAACATACTGACCATTGTGATGGAATAACAGATCACCAAGACTGGAAAGCGACCTATCCTGGAGGAAGAAGAAAAAATACCATAAAAAGTACGCATCGGTTGAACCAGCTGTAGGAAAAAAACTAACATTATTTTCGTAGTTTATTACAACTACTTTGTTACAAATGTAATTCACTAAAACTACAACAAATGTTGCGACTACAAACTACTTTGGAATAGTACTTCAGTGCTTTAAGGTGACGAACTTAATTGACACTTCATGGTTTTGAATAAGAAATTGACTGACATTTAATGTAAGAGAAGAATTATTAATTCATGTTTACACGACCCAGTTTGTTATTCCAAAACTACTTTTTTTTTTTTGAATTTTTTCATTTAACCTTCAACTTTTTCAGAATTTTTCGACGGTGAATATTTAATATAAGAAAGGCGATATAATCAAATAGTTGCAATTTTTCAAGTGTTCTTTTTTTGAAACTTCTTCTAAGAAATGAAGTACATCAAAAATACGTTCAGTGAAATAAAAAAGAATAAGGATGAAATTCGTCCTCAATTTGAATGGGTCTCGTCAGCGAATAAAATGAACAGATTTCTCATTTATGTCTTGTACCTCAGGTTACATTTTTTGACTATGCCGATGATTATTTTTCAAATCTCGACAATTTCATACCTACTCTTAACTATACTAGTTAACTATACTATAACTTAACTATTGAACTATACTAGTATATTTTGAAACCAAAATGCTTTTTTTTTGTGGAAAATATTGACGTTAAAGAAGAAATAAACAATAATGAATGAGAATCAATTACGGGGGCGGACCGAGGAGGTTGCTCTTAAGTCAATTCTGATTTGTGCCTGACTCAAGTGCAAATTTTTTTTTCCGAAAAGGGGGGGGAGCACATATTTATCGACCCTCTAAATTTCTACGAGGGTTCCACACACAAGTAAATAGGCAGATAGCTTAAGATAATAAAATAAATCGAGAAATATAAATACCTTTCTGTGGACTTAAAATAAGAAAATAACTTTGCCTTACTAAAAACGAAAAGCGCAGAGCTCACCACCATTCGTTATAAATTTCCGTCACCGCCGAAACTTTCAAAAGTGATGNTTTTTTTTTTTTTTTTTTTTTTTTTTTTTTTTTTTTTTTTTTTTTGTTCTGACGAAACAGAATTATTTTCTCCTTTCGAGCCAACTTAAAAGAATGTAATTTTACAAAATGTAACGTTATTTTAATGTTTCTTTTTGTAATGCTTGATTTTTTTTCAAAAAGTGAGTAAGCAGTGTTTTCCTTACCAATCAGAGATTTGACCAAAAAGGATTGTGGACACAAGAAATCCAGCCATGTAGGAAGACTTTACCATAGAGATTAACCACTCACGATCACACACAAGATCCCACTGGAATGAATAACTTTTTAGTATATACAAGAACGGAGTGGAATGATAACACATAGCCAATCACAGAAGACTTCTGGTTAGTAACGCACAAAACAGCCAATCAAAAATTGAGAACGCATGTGCGTGTAAAGGTAATAATTTTTAATAATGCTGTCAGCAGAAATGTTACATCTAAACTTACCAGCTAAATCTTGTTGCGATTTTTATTTTGTATTGAATGTGTGAAATATATTGAACAGAGTTTACTTTAAAATACTTATATCTTTTATCAAAAATGGATCGCCGTAAATATCTTAGGAGATATCAACAGCGACATAGGGCTGAAATTTAGCAGTACAAAATTACCGGGAAAATAATCGCAGTACTATCAATATGGGACAGCGAAATGCGCGGCGAAGAAACGTTGAAGAGTCAAGACGTTTAAATGAAAACGAATAATATGGAAAAGAAATTGATAAAAAATGTTGTATATAAAGAGGTTCTGCAAATAATTTTTATTTTTATCATTGTTTTTTCTTACTTTTAATTGTTTTTTACTTACTTTCAAAAAATCATGCAGCCAGAAATATTAATTGGGTATACTATAGCCTACGTCACAGGTTGTGTTATTCCTACTAAATTTAACCCATGAACGGCATTTTCTGCGAGCCTAACTTCAAGCCACAAATAAACAAACGAAGTGTTTGATCGTTTAAATAGCTGCTCGCCAGATTTTATTGCATTATAAAGAAAAGTAATTGATATTCGATTTTTGATTAATAATTGATTTATGTGGATAGTGGCATTTATGTGGATTGTGGCATAGAATTTAGCATTGTGTCATGTTAAATGTTATTCCTACTAAGTGGAAGTAGTTGTGTTTTTTTTATATTATACCCAATTAACAGTTGTTTGAGATATTTCTTAAATAATGCATAAAAGTGCAAATCATTGGTACACAAAATGATGTGAAAAGAAAAATGTACATAGCTAGGTTTTGTGAATATTCAGAGATCCATTGTAAATAATTTTTAATTTTATTGTTTTCACCTTATTTTTTTATAACAATTCAGACAAAAATGTTTATTGATCATTGATAACATAATTATTTCGTTTTACACTTGTTTTTTTTATTAGTATTCAATATGACAAAAAAATTAAATTGCTTAATTTAATTTGTCGTATTTCAGTTACATATGTTTTTATTATATAATTTGCTTTTTGTCTGATTGAAACTAAAATATTTTGTCAGTTGACAATATTGTAGTTAATTGGGCAATTACTTGCAATGGGTTTTGCTTTTGAAATATTACTCAGTATCAACTTATAAATATTACATGTTTTAATTTGTTTGCCATATTTTAAGGATTTTTTTCATTAGGTTTTAATTGTTTTCAGTTTAAAATTTAAATTACTGGGGGGGAGGGGGAAGATAAAGCACCATATAGGGAGAGTCCGGCATGCTATAAGATCAACAATGATTTGAGTTAGTAGGAGTAAAAATGTACTGGAGGGTGCCCTTTGGCGAAATTGGGGATTTATGTTTGGCGCCATTCCTGTTTGCGCGGAACATAGTGGTAACAGGAATGGCCGACAAAATATAATGATATTTCAATAAAACATTGGAAAATTTCAACAAAACATCGGCCCAAACTTTATAAAATTGCAATGAACCCGATATGAGCAAAATTAATAAACTCAAGAAAATGCATTTTGAATCGAAACAAAAATTAATGGAGTAACTAAGTAATGGAGTAATGGAGTAATTAATGGAGTAATGAAGTAACTAATGGAGTAAGCACAGAAAGAAAAGGAAAAAAAAACAACTCACTTCTTCTTTAAGCTTGAATATCCTCAGATTTAGGTGCACCGAATTCTCTAATAGCAGCTAAATACTGTCTAAATTTATCATGAATAGAATCTGTGTACCTCCATTGCCACATAAATTCGAATCGAATACGAAATGCGAATCGAAAATTGCGTCTGTGGTACCGGACTGGCGTTGACATTTTTTTCTAAAGTCCCTTTTTATGACTGCCCACATACTTTTGATCTTTATTGACCAGAAGAAAAAGTAACCTTGCCCAGGGACTGACCGATCAAGACAAATTCAGGCCCAAGGTACACAAAATTTTCTGGGCCCCTACCAAAATATTTTGAAATTAAATTACAGTCCGAACAATAAAAAAAATCTATTGAACTGCATGATTCAAGAGAAACATTCTAAAAAATTTTGAAAGCAGACAGTTGAATATAATTTTTCTAAGATAAAGTTTTTGCAACTAAATATTAAAGCAAAATATAAAACAACAAAACAATGTTGTATGAAAATAAAATTAGTTTGATGACCAGAAAGAGTTGAAGTCAGTGATTTTTGTTAAATGTCACTGATTAGCTGAATTATTTAAAAGATTGTAGCTTTCCATCTACAGCTTTACATATTTGTTAAAAATAAGATTTTAGTTCTTGTTGACACTAATCATTTATAAGAGACATTGCGAATATGCATTCTCGTTGCATTTGCCTAAGCCGTTGGAGTAAAAATTGCACCCATTAAAATTCAGCTATACTTTTGAATTTGATTAGTGCAATGTTTACACGAGTTTGGTTTATAACAATATAAAGAAAATTTGAAATAAAAAAATGCTTTTTTGAGAAAAACTGTTTATTTCAGTATTTAAAAAAAAAAGTAATATTGTGAACTTTTTACTAATCAGGCCCTGACCTTGCCAGCCGGTATCCAACTTAGAACTAACGGACCTCTGAAATCACATATACCGTTGAACATTTAAAAATAACGCTAGAATCTAAACCAATCAGAATCACGATTGGGTTTCAACATCGTCCAGCTTGGTGATCAACCGCGATTAGAACTTGGCGAGAATCAAGGGGCACCCTCAAATATAGTCAANGTTTGGTAATTTTTACCGAAGTGCTTTGGTATTGATGTTTGTTAAATTAACCATAAAATATGGTTTCATGAAATGCTATAAAATTTGGTAAATGTTTTAAAATTTGGTAATTTCATCATGATATATTTATTCAGTTAAATTTACTTTTCAGTTTTACATTATTTACTAAATATCTGGTAGAAAAAAACTATAATTTTGAAAATCAGTTTCTGGCAAACCGTTACTATATCAACAAAAAAAACCCCAAATGAATGGTTTAAATATATACACACCGAAGAGTCATTACATAAAGGCCACCCTGCTAATAACATGTAGGACCACTTTTAACTTTCAAATCTGCTAGCACCCGCCGTGGCATTGATTCCACAAGGTGCTGATAGGTAGTCTGAGGTTTCTGGTACCAAGCGCTCACCAACTGGTGGTGCAATTCCCTCACATTGCGAGGGGGTAGCGTGGCAGCACGAATTTGGTTTCCCAAGTAGGGCCGCAAATGCTACATTGGATTAAGGTCAGGTGAATTTGGGGGCCAAGACACGACTTGAAAGTCACTGAAATGTTCCTCGAGGATTCGACTCTTATGACATTATCCTGTTGGTAAACACCATCCCCCGCAGGAAAAACTGTTGCCATGAATGGGTGAACCTGGTCTGCAATTATGTTCAAGTAGCTTACAGACGTCAGGGATTGTTCTATGAGAATTATGGGTCCTAAAATGCCCCATGAAAACATTGTTACTGGGCGAGAAACCATGAAAACCTGGGAGAGCCCATTGTTATAGATGGAGGGTGGTCATAACGTAATTGCTCTTCGGTGCATGCATATATATATATATATATATATATATAAGAGAAAGGGGAGGGGGTAAGTATCTTAGGCAGGGCTGGATTACCCATTTGGTCAGATTAGACCATGGCCTGGAGCCCCTTTAAAATAGATTTTTTGAAAATAAAATTAAAAAAATTAAGAAAAACAATGATTTTTCTAATTTTTTCAAAATGTTATGATTATTTTTCTATTCTAAAGGGTCCCAAAAATGTGAATGGTTCCCGCGTGCGCTTAATCCGGCCCCTGATCTTTTAGGGGGCAAGAGCTTATGAGCATTCCCCTGCAACACACCTCCAATCGAAATAAAACAAGGGGGGTAAATAATAGCTGGGGGAGTTGACCAGAAAGAGATAAAAAAAANAAAAAAAAAAAAAAAAAAAAAAAAAAAAAAAAAAAAAAAAAAAACTAGAATTTTGGGGGGATAGTCAAGCTGGTATTATAAATATTATATAATGTATGGTCAGTTCCTTCAACCACTCCATCCAATTATCACTTTATTTTATTAAATCTTAATTTATTGAAGAAACAAAAAGGGAGGTTTCAAAATTAAAGGGGATGTGATAACAAGAAGCATTAATGTAATAAATGTTTAACAAAATGATCCGAATAAGGGTAATGGATATTTGTAAGGGGATAATGTATACGAAAAATCAGTGTAGCAATGACATTCAAGAAACGTAATAATAAAATTGAAGAGTAAAAATTTAATAAAAAAGGTGAAATTTATGAAGAATAAAATAAGAAAAAGTATAGTAATACAAAAATAATAAAAATGAAAAGAATTAAAATGAAATTATAAAATAGTAAAGTAATATAGTATAATGTATAATAATTGGTAAAGACAATACAAAAAAGATATCAGTAATGAGGTAAAAATAAAAATAACAAAGTTTGGTTAAATGGGTGTTTGTAGCTGTGTGAAAGATAGTGTTTACATTCTGATGAGGTAAAATAAGTAGTGAAAAAATTTTATAAATTTATAACAGAGGGTGAAATAGATTGGGGCTGTAATAAGTATAAATGAAGATAAATAAAAAATTAACAAAAAATATTATTTATCATGATAATAACGAGCAGGTAGGAAGTGTAAAAGTAATAATAACACTATGTACAAGAAAGAGTATGGGGTAATAATGTCAATTTTCGTCAATAGGTGGCACCACTGAGGTAAACTCACGAAGAACGAAAAATAGGAATTTGTTAATAAAAAGTTAAAGATATATTTATAATTTGGGAAATGACTGTGAAATAATCAACAGATAGTTTATCAAATTTAGAATAAGCGAGTTAGTAAATTAAGAGGTATAGTGTGGAAAGATGATTACGGAAAATAAAAGTTTCTGAAGATTAACATTTGGGAGTAGAATGGCAAATGGCCGCATTATCGAGCTCATTTGTATGTATCTTAGTACTGCCATTCTCCTAATTTGTGCTATTTGTTCTTCAACTTGACAAAGACTTATAAACCGTTTCGTGCATTGAGGTCACAAACCTGCTTGCTTATGTACAGGGGTTGGACAAAGTAATGAAAACATTTTCTATAATAAAATCGAAGAATTATTTTATATAATATAATTAAAGAACTATTTCATAGAAATGTTTATACCATGATATTTCTCATACTTATCCATAAAAATTAAAGCTTTTAGAGGTTTGAGGGACTGACAACAAATGACAAACAGAAAATGGATGTTTTTGAACACTCAATGCCAAAAAATGTAGCAATAGGTTTGTAACTTGTGACATTTTTGTTAATATGTGCACACAAAATTTTGTAAGCCTAACTTAAATATTTAAGGAAATATGGACATTATTATAAAAAAATATTTCTGTCCTACTTCTTTTTGTTATAACTTTAAAAATATTCAAATGAAGCAACATTTTTAGAGTCATTTAAAATTAATAACAATATTTTGCTTTAAAATTTAAAACAAACAAAAAAAATCGTTGAAAACAGTGCAATATATAAATAATTAAAGTAGTTCTATTATACCGCGCATGAGCGGAAGAAAATTTTAAGCTTTTTTTTTTTTCATAATTTTGTACTGTAAAACTAATGAAAAACTAATGAAAACAGCCCGGTTTGATTATCTTAAGAATTTAAAAAGTTCTTAGCCATTTTCTAAGTTATTTTTGTACTTTTAAAAGAAAGAATAGTATGTTTCATCAGAAGACAAAATTAAATAGCAAATGATAATACCCTACATACACAAAAATGGGATTGGAAAAACCTTATGTGAACAACACTTCGATCGAGGGTTCACATTAAACTGTTGACTTGTGACATTATCCACGCACTATTGCTTCTCAGTCTCGACCACACATTCACTCTACTGCTAAAGGCAACACAGGAGCAACAACGACTTAATTCAGCTCTCAGTCCTCCAAAGTACGGTGATCTTAATACAGCCCTCCAGACTTCTCGCAAAACAGCAATAAATCAACTAGTGGTATCCGTTCATCGAATTCTATCACAGATAAAATTCTGGTGGGGGACTACTGTGGTATGTCTACCACTACAAAAATACATTGGTGATACATAGAAGTTACAGGTTGCTAACTTTGATACTCGAACCTAGTATGCTGTCTACACCACACTCCTCTTCTTCCGAAGTGCTTCTCACAGAAAAACATTAAAATAAGATCTTGTAATTCACAATTAATCTTTTACGTACTATGCGGGTAAATTCGAAGTAAAAAACTTGGTCATTTAAATTTAGTTCATAACCACTGGGTCTTGTACAAAATGGTTGGAATGCGTAAAGAAGTCTCCTCAAACAACATATATTACTTTGAAACAATTATATTAAGTAGCTGGAATTTTTGTAACAGTATTAATCACGTAGCAGTTATACTATTGAACGAGCACTTTAAGAGGACGCCACAACGATCTTTCTCTTTCATTACTAATTAAAATTTAAAATGTCGAAAAAGTGAGTTCAAACTTAGAGTTTCAAAGACTGAAAAGAACATTTTAAAATACACACATGGAAATAAATTATGAGATGATAACTTTGTATTACGCAACGGAGAAGTTCTCTTCTCATAATTTGTTTGCATTTTTAATATTTTGAAGTAATTTTTTCAGCTATTTAAACTTCATTTCAAACTCTAAGTTTGCGAGCACTTACTTTTTCTTTCTTTTAAAGTAGTCATGAAGGAGAAAGAAAATTTTCTTCCACGCTATGGCGTCCCCTTTTTTTTCCACTCTCCACACTTTTCTCCTCTCCATTAATATGGTTTCGACAAATCTTGCCATTTCCTCATACAGTTATATTGCGATTTGGCTCGGAAACAAGATTTGCCAGAACGGAAGGGGAGGAAAGTGTGAAAAATCGAGGTGTAAATAATGCTAGGAAGAAAAAGAAAGAGTTACCTTACTGACAATGGTTTCAGGATAGAAAGAGGTGTCATATTCCCATTGTGTGCAAGGCAGGGAAGAGTTCCCAAAGAAACAACGATCGGTGGAATTGACACAGTGGAAACCAACATTTGGGGCCAGAAAACTAATGGAGAAGTTTTGCCACATGCCCACAATATTTATGCAAAATATGATGCAAAATATCCATGTCTGCCATCTCCCAAAACTTCCCATCAACTCTTCCAACTTCTTCACCATTCCTCCTCTTCACCCTGAAAGTAACAAAATTTATTTCAATGCAGTCAAACCCCCGATAGAGTGAAGGGTTCACTTATAACCGGGAGTTCACTCTATAAATACAGTTTCAACTAATGGTTCAGAATTCCTCCCTTTTTATTAAACATTATTGAAATCCATAAACATAAATACAAAAATGACTACGAAACAATAGTCACAAAAAATGTGTTAAATTTTATTTTTTATTCTTAAAGAATTTAGAGATTTGAAACTGAGATAGAAGAAGAAAAAAAATGCTTATTCCACTTAATAGACGGTTTTAAAAATCGGTATATATGTACTTTATGTAGAAATTTCAAAATTACAAAAAAATAAAATGAAGAAAAAAATATCAGTCGAAGACAGAAAAAATTTCTCACTATACAACTTCCTCTCTTTTTTGGGTACCCTATATATCAACAAAAAATAGCATTATACGTGTGCAGCAAGGCACGGGAGCGAACATTTCGTTCGTTGTGTCTGGGAGTACACTATAAACAGTGTTCACTATAGCGGGGTTGACTGTAATAAGCTGTCATGAAGGGAAATGAATAGGTACGATAGATACGTGTGGGGGTATACTGTAAAACAATTTCGTAAATCTTCAACAAGTATTTGGTGCAAAGTTATGTTATTCTCCTCTAGTTTAGCCTAGTTAGTTAGAAAGATCATTTTATTTTAGTGACACCACAAATTGTGAAGAATGAGACTTGCAACTGACTGCACTGAACTTTGACGGTGAGCATAAATATTTGCTACATACCCGAATTAACTCAGGATAATCAGGGTTAAAACTCGCATCTAAATACCGTCGCATATAACGAGAGACCCGGTGAACACAAAAAATGCTCGTAAAATTCGGTCCAGACCCGCACTAAATTCGAATTCAAAGCTGGCAGAAAAAAAAAACACACACAGAGTTCAACTTATACGAATTGTTTTACTTGCTTTGTTTTATTTTATCCAAGAGTTTTGTAATTTACACTATTTCTTTTACGTATATAGCGTTTCGATTGTTTAAACAGCTAAATTAAATAAAGTACTGTTTCGAAGAAAAAAAAAGGGAAAAAAAAGGACCCTGACAAAGGAATGTAACGCGTGCGACCATGAAATGCTTCTCAACTATTTATAAATAACGTTAAATATATACTTATACAGTAATTATAGATACTTTTGATAACTTTAAACTCTCGAAAGTGTTCGATTTTTTTAAATTTAGTTTTTAATCATTTTAGATACTATTCCATGATTCCAAAGTTATTTCCTTCGTTAAGTTCGACTCATTCCAAATAGGGTGCCAAACAAAACAATTACTTTTGCTCGTTAAATCTCGAATTTCGTTAAATACGGGTGCGTGATAAGTGGGCTCTACTGTATACGGGGGTTTGAGGGACATTCACCTCTTCTCTGCCGGCCTCGCATCTCATACGTACGGTGTTTTTGTGCCCGCATGTCGCCATCCTTGAAATGGTATTATGACGCTACTCACACGTCTCTTTAAATTCCGCCAGAATTTTTGTATTTCTGCATATTGCTCTACTGAATAGTGACTCACTTTCTTCACAATTTTCACATTGAGATTTCCCACCTTGAATTGAAATCAAAATCATTTTGCGCTTTCTATAATTTCACTTTCATTCTGTTACCGTTGCATGTCAATTGCATTTCTAATAATTATTTTATACAGTTATGTATAATTAGTTTTAAAAATTATGAAAGTTATTAATTAATTAATTACTATTATTACTAATTTCATGCAGATCTTATGCGCCTTATAGAAATAGAGTTAATAAATGTTATCACAGTGATTACATTTTAAGATAAAAACTTGAGTGCATTGCAGAGATGAGTGGACGGGGCATCACATATATTTGACCACCAATAGGTCAAGCAAAAAACTGATTGCTGAAAAAAATATTTCGCATTTGCGAACTTAGGATAGAACACATATCTATTTTCAACAGTAAAAAAATGCTTTTTTTGGGGGCGAAAAAAAAATCCGACAAAGAAGGGGATTAATATATATACAGTCAAACCCCGCTATAGTGAACCTTCAAGGGATCGAAATTTCGGTTCACTATAACCGGGAGTTCACTATATCCGTTACGCAGACGATTTCACTAATGGTTCCCAAACTCCTCCCTTTTATAACATTATATTCATATAAATGACTGAAAAATATTATGTAGTAGCAAAAAATGTGTTATTTTTCATCACTCTTCGTCTTGCGTACAAATAAAAATCTGTAATCTTTAGCTGATGAGCAATCCTCAACATTAGATATGAAAACACTTTCCGACTCTCAGATAATTTTTCCTGACTTTCTGTTATTCCGCTTTTTAAACCTGTCTAACCTGCTGTTCGAGCACATACAAGTAGTTTCTATAGATGGTTTTAAAAATCGGTATGTGTATATTTTGAAGTAGAAATTTCAAAATTATTACGAAGAAAATGGGGGGGGGGGAATCAGTCGAAGACAGAAAAAAGTTCATTATATCCAACTTCCTCACTTTTTTGGTTCACTATATCCACTAAAAATAACATTATACGTGTCACGGCATTAGGCACGGGACCGAGCATTTCGTTCACTATATCCGGGAGTTCACTATAAGCCGTGTTCACTATAGCGGGGTTTGACTGTATAAAGGGCTGCAGGTGGCGTAGTGCAGAACTCTCTACCCATGGCAATACTT